CCCCAAAACCCCAAAACCCCAAAACCCCAAAACCCCAGAAAATATTGAGTCATTGAAAAGCTTATAACTTATTTCTCTGCTGGTCGATGGTCCCATAAACCTTATCAAGAGCCATCTCCTGAGCATTCATGTTTTGTGAAGAATTGGAGGACTGAAGTCTTGATTTCTCCCCAAATGGAGGGTACCTCTCTGTTTCTACTTTCTTCTTATTCAGTAAACTCTTGTACTTAAGGTATCTCTCTTTCGGCAACATTTCATGAGTGCTCTTATGAACTTTCGATAGATTAGGAAGTCAATTTTTCATCAAACAGATATTATTACCATTATGAGAATTCTCTAGGTTGGAATATCCCTTTTTCCGAATTTTCGGAAGGACAATTCTGGTGACTCCTTCCTTTTTAATTCCTTTATTTTGAGGAACAGTGCCAATACGAGGCTTAGTGGCATTATTTTCTGGCCTGAATTCATTATCATAGTTGTTCTCATTCTCCTTCATTCTTCTTTGGATTGATGAAGATTGGTTTATTTTCTTATTTTAACAGTGTTAATTTGCTGGTATTTAGCCTCCTTTTGGACTGTCTTCCGAATACCTCCTTAAAAATGTTCGGAGGGTTAGAGCCTAAACCAAAGAGATTAGATATTGTTGATGAGGTGACGATTACCTTTGATTTCATGAGATTGGCTCCGTTTGGTCGATTTAAATCCATTATATTTTGATTTTGGAAGTCGGTTGTTTAAGCTATGAGGTCAAAAAAATAAATCACCTGAAAATGTTATCTTTTCGATTATTTTTTATCTTTATAGTCTGGAGTAAGGTATCTCTTGATTGGTTTGGGTCAGTATTTTCATTATTTTCTCACTCGTCTTCAAAGAGGAACATCTTCTTTGTAACCTCCTTTGTTTGAAGGAGGTGAGAAGCCCCTGGTCTAGATGTCATATTCACTCTAAGACACATCGCAATGATGTTCCGTAGATCATCTGAATAGTGATATGGGATGTCAGGATAATGACCTTTCACCACTTTCTTAAATAAAGTCTTCATATCCTTAGCTTTAAAAGGTGGGTTCAGGGTTGTTATTTCGTAAAGGACTCATCCTAGAGACCAAATATCACATTTATAATCATAAGGTTTGTCTCTCCAAACCTCTGGGCTTGCATAATAAGGAGTTCCTGTTTGAGTAAACATCAACGACTCGCCATGGCATACTTTTGATACATTCAGATCTCCTAACTTTATTGTCCCATCTTTCATTAAAAATACATTAGCTCATTTTAAATCCCTGTGAACAGTATCCATGGAATGCAAATGAGCTAGAGCTCTTGTGATCTGGATGAAATACTTCCAAATATGATTTTCAGGAAGGTACATCTTCCTCTCCTTTTGATTTAATATTCTCTCATAAAGATCTCCATTCTCCCCATACTCCATCACAATACAGAGATTAGAGGTATGCTCATCAATAAAGGCTTCTTTATATTGTATAATATTTTGGTGGTTTATCGATGCAAGAATTCTCACCTCATTCAGGGCATTTGCTTTTTCCTTATCATTCAGCTGTCCTAACTTGACCTTCTTAAGTGCATAGATGCAGTAGTCACTCAGTCTCCTGACCTTATAAACCGTGCTATAGTTAGTATTAAGCCTGAATCACATAATCTTACCTATAAACCCCTTTTCCTAGTTCTTTAAGAACCTCAAAATCATCAACACAAGTATTTTTCTCCATTTTTACCCAAAATCTTACTAAATTAATTTTTAAAAATTTTCAAAATTTTAAAATACTTGGGGTTTTGGGGTTTTGGGGTTTTGGGGTTTTGGGG